GGGGCGCGTCACGACCGACGCCCCCGAGGCCCTCCGCCGCGCCCGCGACCACAACCCGCCTCCATACGAATGGTCCCTCCTCTACTGGTCCGGCCAGGTCAACAAGCAGAACGGCGCGCTCGACGACGCCATCTCGAACTTCGAGCAGATGATCGAGGGCGGCTTCGAGCAGGCGCAGGGCAAGGGCTTCGACTTCTCCAAGAACGAGGACCTCCGCGTCGACCTCGCCGACACCCTCTTCCAGCGCGCCCGCCAGGAACGCGGCGACACCAGGAGAGAGAACCGACGCGAGTTCCTCCAGCGCGCGATCGATCACCTCGGCGTCGCCCTGGAACTCGATTCCGAGCTCGCCGCCGCCCACTACCTCCTCTATCAGATCTACACCGACATGGGCGAGACCCAGCTCGCGCAGGACCACCAGGCCCTGCACGAAAAATACAAAATCGATGACAACGCCCGGGACCGCGCCGTCGCCATCGCGCGGCAGAAGTACCCCGCCGCGAACAAGGCCGCCGAGGCCGTCGTGATCTACGACCTCCGGCGCCCCGGAGCCTTCGAGCTCGCCGGCCCCGACACCCCAGACACCGTCACCTCGACCGAGGGAGGCACGCCGTGAGCGACAAGACGCCCATCCCGAACCACCACTCGGAAGAGCTGATCAACATCGAGGAGCAGAACGACGACATCATCGGCGTCGCGTTCAAGTGGTCGCTCATCGTCATCGTCCTGCTCGGGGCGCTCGCCGGCGGGATCTACCTCGTCTTCGGGCGCACCGCGCCGGAGGCCGAGGTCGTCATCGAGAAGGACCCCGGCGGCATCGAGTCGCTCGTCGTCGAGACCGACGAGCGGCCCGGCGTCGTGTTCACCGACATCGCCGAGGACGCGGGCGTCGCCTTCGTCTCCCGCGACGGCGGGTCCGGCGAGAAGCTCCTGCCCGAGACCATGATCGGCGGCGCCGCCTTCCTCGACTACGACAACGACGGCGACCAGGACATCCTGCTCGTCTCCGGCACCGAGTGGCCGCACGACAACCCGCCCGCGGACCGCCCCTCCTCCGTCGCGCTGTACGCCAACGACGGGAACGGTGTTTTCACCGACGTCACCGCGCAGGCCGGCCTCGACACGCAGATCTACGGCATGGGCGTCGCCTGCGGGGACGTGGAGGGCGACGGCGACACCGACGTGTTCATCGCCGCCGTCGGCGCCAACCGCTTCTACCGCAACGACGGCGGGACCTTCACCGACGCCACCGCCAGCGCCAACCTCGCCGGAGGCGAGACCGCCTGGTCGTCCAGCGCCGGGTTCTTCGACATGGAGGGCGACGGCGACCTCGACCTCTTCGTCTGCAACTACATCAAGTGGAACCGCGAGATCGACATCGAGCTCAACTTCACGCTCAACGGCGTCGACCGCGCCTACGGCCCCCCCACCAACTACGAGGGCGCCCACTGCTCGCTGTTCGAGAACGACGGCGCCGGCGTCTTCACCGACGTCACCGCGCGCGCCGGCATCGAGGTCAACAACCCCGCCACCGGCGTCCCCATCGGCAAGGCCCTCGCCCTCGCGATCTACGACTTCGACGCCGACGGCGACCTCGACGTCGCCGTCGCCAACGACACCACCCAGAACTTCCTCTTCCGCAACAACGGCGACGGCTCCTTCGAGGAATCCGGCAGCGCCCAGGGCATGGCCTACGACTCCAACGGCAAGTCCACCGGCGCCATGGGCATCGACGTCGCCCGCTACCGCAACGACACCTCCGTCGCCGTCGGCATCGGCAACTTCGCCAACGAGATGACCTCGTTCTACGTCATGCAGAACGGCATCTTCACCGACGAAGCGATCGGCGAGGGCATCGGCTCGCCCACCCGCGCCCGCCTCTCCTTCGGCCTGTTCTTCTTCGACTACGACCTCGACGGACGCCTCGACCTCCTCCAGGCCAACGGCCACCTCGAGGACGAGATCACCCAGATCCAGCCCTCCCAGCACTACGAGCAGCCAGCCCAGCTCTTCTGGAACCGCGGGCCCGAGGCCCTCTCCGCCTACGCCGAGGTCCCGCCCGAAGAGATGGGCGACCTGGGCCTGCCCGTCGTCGGGCGCGGGGCCGCGTACGCCGATATCGACGCCGACGGCGACCTCGACGTGCTCATCACCGCCGTGAACCGACGCCCCCTGCTCCTCCGCAACGACCAGGCCACCGGTCACCGCTGGCTGCGGATCACGCTCGAGGACCCGACGAACGCCAACCACGGCGCCGTCGGCGCGACCGTCACCCTCCTCGCCGGCGGGACGATGCAGGAACGCACCGTCATGCCAACACGGAGCTACCTCTCTCAGGTCGAGCGGCCCGTGACGTTCGGCCTCGGCGAGCTCGACACCGTCGACGCCGTGATCGTCCGCTGGCCCGACGGCGAGGAGACGCGCCACGAGGGCCTCGCCGTCGACACGGCGCACACCATCACGCGCAGCAACTGACCGCTCACCCGAGCCCCATCGCCTCCGCGAACGGCGCGACGTGCGCCGCGTACTTCTCGTGACGCGCGATCGAGCCGGTGTACATCTTCTGGCGCACCTGCTCGTTGCTCGCGGTCATCGCCACGCGCCCCGACTCGTGGAACCGGAGGCACGCGTCCTCCCAGTCCAGCCCGATCGCGTCGATCAGCGCCCGCGACCGCGCCTCCTGCTCGCGGACCATCTCCTCGTACCGCACCTCGTGCGCCCTGATGCCGAGCGACGCCCAGTGCGTCATGAGGCGGCGGTACGCCCTGTAGTACACGCCGATCGTCGCCGGCGACGTCGACCACGCGTTCGTCGCGCCGAAGTTCTGGAAGTAGCACGACAACGCCGTGTCCAGCGGGTCGCGCACCGTGTGCACGATCGACGCCGCCGGCATCGACGACGCGATCAGGCCCAGGTGCCGGAAATTGCTCGGGAGCTTGTCCGTGATGCGCGCCGCGTCCTTCGCGAGCGACTTCAGCTCGCGCAGGTACTCGCGTCCGGCCCGCTCCATCGACCGCGCGCCGATCGCGCCGAGGCTCACGAGCGCGTCGCCCGGCTCGAACGCACGCTTCTGCAGATCCCGAACGATGCCGTTGAGCACCGTGAGCTCGCCCCCGCCGTGCGCCTTCGAGTGGCAATCGATGATCTGCTCGACGAGCGTCGTCCCCGAGCGTGGGAGCCCGACGATGAACACCGCCAGCTCGCTCTTGCCCGCGCGGGCGCGCACCGCGTCGAGCGACTCCGGCGTCCACGCCTCGATCAGCCGGTCCGTCTGCGCCTCGGTGCGCGCCGCGTCGAACGGCGCGGCGTTGAGCCCGTTCGCCTCCGCGTAGCTCTCGAACGCGCGGGCGTACTCGCCCAGCTTGTCCAGGATGTCGCCCCGGCGGTGCAGCAGGTTCACCCGCGAGAGCGCCGTGAGCGACGGCGCGTCCAGGTACCGGTCCGTCACCGCCAGCGCCTCGCCGCCCCGCCCGGCGCCGAGCAGCGCCCGCGATTCGAGCATCGCGATCTCGAAGGCTTCCCGCGTGCCCGCGTCGAGCGACGCGATCGCGGAGAGCGCCCGCACGTGCTCGCCAGCGCTGCAGAGCAAATCCAGCCGGCCCTGCACGATCGCCCGGTGGCCCGGGTGCTTCGCGAGCCCAGCCTCGATCGCCCGCTCCGCCTCTTCCCCGCGCCGCTCGAGCCGCAAGGCCAGCGCGTACTCCGCCACCGCCTCCGGGATCGAGCGGAGGCCCAGCGACCGGCCCAGCGTGCGGACGGCGGCCCCCGCTTTGCCCGTGCGCAGCTGGCAGACGCCGAGGAGGTACAGGAACTGCGCGTCGCCCGACCGCTGCTTCTCGGCTTTCGCGAGCACGGGCAGGGCCGCGGCGAACCGCCCGGCGTTCATCAGGCGTTCGACATCGTCGAGGGTGTGGCTCGGCGCGTTGGCGCTCATGGGCCCGACGATACCGCATGGCGTGGCGGGCGCGGGTCCGCGGGGAGCGGGGCGCACGAAAAAACCCCGGCCCAAAAGGACCGGGGCTTTGGATCTCTGAGATCTCTCGCCAATCAGCCTACGCGGAAGCGGAGGTGATCGGTGAAAGCCAGATTAGCGGCGGCGGCGAACCGCAGCGAGACCACCGAGGCCGAGAACCGCGGCAGCGCCGGGAGCCGGGATGAAGGTGATCGTGGAGCCGCTGTTGAACACACCGTCAGCACCGAAGTCGTCGAACTCGTCAAAGACGGAGACGGTGTAGGTGCCGGCGCCACCGGAAGCGGCGGCGGTGACGGAGACGGAGAAGGTGCCGGTGGAGGCGCCCCAACCGAAGGTGATGTCATCCGGGCCGTCCTCGGAGAGGCCGGTGTCGGAGCCGTCGGCGCCGAAGAAGAAGCCGCCGGGGCCGGTGATGTCGATGTTCACCTCTTCGCCCCACGACGGGGAGAAGGTGGTGACCGACAGGTTGAACTGGATGGCGGTGACGCCACCGGTGCTGACGGAGCCAGCAACCGTGGAGACGCCGTCGTACATGAGACCAGAAAGGTCAACGGTCTGGGCGGAAGCGGTCGCGGCAACGGCGAGACCAGCAACGGAAGCGATGGCGAGATTCTTCATGTGTTTCTCCTCACATCTCTCTAAAATCTAAACCAGGTACAGAAAACCCCTGACTTTGAACCCAATGCAACAGCGCACTGGACGTATCAGCAATGTGTGCCCCGCGGAAGACAAGGCAGGTATTCAGTTGTGGTAGGAGAAGGGTTGACGTGCTCTTCTACTACCTCACTCGTGATCGATCACGCGGCTCTCATTTCCCCTGGAGCCATGTATGCGAGATCCATCACCATCCAATGTACCCGTGCTCCCATGGATGTAAAGCCTCTTCTTCTCATTTTTGTGATTCCGTCGGAGTTTTCGTCAGAAGACACCCCGATCAACAAGCTTCCATTCTCGGACCCCTCAGGATCACAAGCCGAAGCCAATCAAGGCATAATGCGGCGATTCCATGGCACTGATCGCACCAATTATGGGCCTTCTCGCGGCCGGAATCGGGCTCCCGATTCTTCTGACCTTTTACTTCCTGAAACTCAGGAGACGCCCCGTTCGGGTCAGTTCCACCCTTCTGTGGGACCAGGCCGCCCGCGATCTCGAGGTCAACGCGCCCCTCCGGATGATCCGGCCGAGCCTGCTCCTCCTGCTCCATCTCCTCGCCCTCGCCCTCCTCTGCCTCGCCATCGCCCGCCCGACCCTCGACACGCCCCGAGACGCACCGGGCTCGATCGTGCTGCTCATCGACCGTTCCGCCTCCATGTCCGCCCGGGACGCGGGTGACGCCTCGGCCCCGATCACCCGCCTTGACTCATCCAAACAGATGGCCCGCGACCTCCTCGGGCGCCTCGACGACCGCGTCCAGGTGAGCGTCATCGCGTTCGCCGCGGAACCCTCCATCGTCTCGCCCATGAGCCCGGACCTCGCCCAGGCGATCCGGGCGATCGAGGCCGTCGAGCCGACCGACCAGCCGGGCGATCTGCACCGCGCCCTGCGCCTCGTCGAGGCCATGACGGCGGGGCAGGCATCGGAAACAGGCGAGCCGATCGACACGGCGCGCGTCGTCATCCTCTCCGACGGTGAGCCCGTCTCGCGCACCGACGACCCGCGGCCCTTCGCGCTCGATCCGGGAAGAATCGAGTTCCTCCCCGCCATCGAGCCCGGCGCGACCCCGCGGGCGAACATCGCCGTCGTCTCGGCGGACGCCGCCCGCGACGCGGACGACCTCGCCCTTGTCCGCCTCTTCGCCCGCGTCCTGGCCGTGAATCCCGCGTCCCGCGAGCTCACCCTGACCCTCCGGCTCAACGGCCGGCCCGTCGCCTCGCGCCCGCTCTCGCTCTCCGAATCAGCCGGGGACCCCGGCGTCTGGGAGGGCTCGATCACCTTCGAATTCAACGACGACGCCGAAGGCGGCCTCGCCGTCGTCTCCCACGCCGTCGACGACGCGCTCGAAAGCGACAACGCCTACGCCCTCCGCCTCAACCCGCCCCTCGGCCCGCGCGTGCTGCTCGTCCAGGCGGCGGCGCCGGAGAACGCGATCGACTATGTCCTCGCCGATGCGCTGGCCGTGCCGTCGCTCCGCGTCCAGACGCTCGAAACCATCACCATCACCCAGTACGAGCGTCGCCTGCCGCAGAACTCGCGCCCGGGCGAGCTCGTCCGCGTGCGGCTCGAATCGGGCGACGTGCCGGACCTGGTCATCTTCGACGCCTGCACGCCGAGCCGTCTGCCGGCGTGCCCGTCGGTCTCGTTCGGCGCACCGATCCCGCTCCCCGGCCTCAATCTCGCGCCGCCGGAGAACACGCCCACGCGCGTCGCCTTCTTCCGGCGCACGCACCCCCTCCTGCGCTACGCCGACCTGGGCGACCTGCGCATCGAGCGCCACCGCCGGCTCACCCTCCCCGAGCCCGGGTCCGCCGTCTCGCGCGTGCGGATCCTCGCCGAGAGCGCCGAGGGCCCGCTTATCGCCGAACTCGTCTCGCGCGGCGTGACGCGAGTCATCGTCGGTTTCGCACTCAGCGACGCTTCTTGGTGGCGCCGCCCGGGCTTCCCGCGGTTCATCAAAAACACGCTGGACACGCTCACCGAGACCGGCGTCGAGAACACCGCCGCCTCCGCCACCACGACGGACGCCGTCCCGCTCACGCCGGCGCAAGGGGCCGCGGTCGTGCGGATCTCCGGCCCCGTCGAGCGCACCGTTTCGGTCGGCGGCGACTCCGCCCCGCTCGGCGTCGTCCTCCCCAGAGCCGGCGTCTACGACGTCGACTCCGCCGATCCCGCGCAACTCCCGATCAACCTCGCTTCCCCCGAAGAAAGCCGCATCCGAACGGGCGACGCCCTCGATATCTCCAACACCCGCATCTCCGGCGGCGGCGCGTCGAGCATCGTGCCGCGGGAGATCTGGCACTGGTTCGTCCTCGCCGCGCTCCTCCTGCTCACCGGCGAATGGTTCTACTACTCTTGGAAGATGCGCACCTGATCGCGTAGCCTCACCCCATGCACACCCCCACCGCCGCCGCCGCTCTCCTCGCCCTGTGCGCCGCAGCCCACGCGCAGGACGCCCAACAGACCGCCGAGCAGAGCACCGAGCAAGCCGTCGAGCTCGAGGCGGAAGAATCGAAGTTCCGTCTCACGTTCTCGGCGGACGAGCTCATCGCGTTCGAGACCGATCTCGATGACACCGCCGGCGACGTCTCCTCCGCCAGCACCAGGCTCCGCCTGCAGCTCGACGGGGACGTCTCGGACGATTTTTCCACGAGCCTCGCGTTCACCGGCACGTTCGTGGACTACGAGTTCTCCGGCGTGACCGACCCCTTCCTCGCGTCGCCCGAAGCCATCGACGACGCGTACGAGCTCGGCGTCCGCCTCATCGGGCGTCACACCTTCGACGAAACCTGGTCCGCCGTCGGCGGCGGCTTCACCCGCGCCGGCTTCGCCGACAACGCCGACATCGACGACGCGTTCACCTACGGCGGCTTCATCGCGGCCGGCTACCGCTCCTCGGACGTCTTCTCGATCGACTTCGGCGTCCTCGTCTCCACACGCCTCGAGGACGACCTCTTCGTCATCCCCTACGTCGGGATCCGATGGCAGATCGACGAGACGCTCACCCTCTCGTCCAACGGCCTGGGCGGACGGCTGGACGCGAAACTTGACGATTCGTGGACCGTGTATATCCACGGGCGCTACGAGTCCCACGAGTACCGCCTCGACGACGACTTCGCCCCCGCGCCGGGCGGCGTGATCCGCGACGATTCCTACCCCGTGGGCGTGGGCGTCCGCTTCGCGCCGAGCCGGGATTTCTCGATCACCCTCGAGGGCGGCATCATCTTCGGGCGCGAATTCGAGTTCTTCGACGACAGCGAGAACGACCTTCGCACAATCGAAACAGATTCCGGCGCGTATCTTGGCATCCGGCTCGCCTTCAGCTTCTAGTCTGGTGCGGTGTCCACGCCGCAGCGATCCAACGCCCGACTCGACCGCCGCTCGTTCCTGACCGGTGCCGCCTCCCTCGCGGCGCTCGCGAGCGTGCCCGCGCCGGCCCGCGCCCGCGCAACGCCCCGCCCGACGAAGCCCGCGAAGAACCTCATCTTCGCCGTCGCCGACGGCTGCGGCCCGGGCGCGATCACGGTCGGCGAGCACTATTCCCAGCTCCGCGACGGCCGGTCGCTCAACTGGACCGGCCTCTTCAACGACCCAGACGCCACCACCTCCATCGTGTCGACCGAGTGCGCCGACGGCTACGTCACCGACTCGGCCGCGTCCGCGAGCGCCTGGGCGATCGGCGAGACGTGCAACTACCGCGCCGTGAGCTGGACGCCCGACCACCGCGCCCCGCGCCCGCTCTTCCTCCGCGCGAGAGACGCCGGCAAGGCCATCGGCATGATCTCGAACACCTACCTCTGGGACGCCACACCCGTCGCCTGGGTCGCCAACGGGCCGGACCGCAAGACAGCTCGGTACGAGCTGGCCGAGCAGCTCGTCGAGTCCGGCTGCGACGTCGCGCTCGGCGGCGGGCAGGAGACCTTTAAGCCCGACATCCTCGCGCTCGACCCGTCGATGCGTGTCGTCCGCACGCGCGACGAGCTCGGGCGCTTCGCGCGCACGCCCGACCGGCTCCTCGGCCTCTTCGCGCGGGAGAATTTCCCCTACCGCTTCGAGTACGACGGCGACACGCCCGAGCTCGCGGGCATGCTCGACGTCGCGCTGGGCCGGCTCCGCAGCGCCTCGCCCGACGGCTTCACGCTCCTCATCGAGGGCGCCAAGGTCGACCACGCGGCGCACGCCAACGACGGCGCCTCGCTCTGCAACGAGCTCGCCCACTTCGACGAGACCCTCGGCACCCTCATCGACTTCGCGAAGCGGGACGGCGAGACTCTCCTCGTTGTCACCACCGACCACGCCAACGCCAACCCGGCCCTCACCGAGTACGCCGGTGGCGGCGCAAAGCTCTTCCGCAATATCCTCAAGCCGACGCACTCCTTCGAATGGCTCATCGGGCAAGCCAATCTGGAAATGGGCGTCCGCCGACGCGCCGACGTGCTCTTCGAGAGCTTCCGGCAGAGCACCGGCTACCCGCTCACCAACGACGACTTCGCCCAGATCGAGCGGTTCTTCGCGGACCAGTCGATCGACGGCTACGGGACCAACAGCAAGCTCCATTGCCTGATGGGCGCCATCTGCGCCAACCACACAGGCCTCGCCTTCCTCTCCCCCAACCACACCTCCGACCCCGTCACCGCCACCGCGCTGGGCCCGGGCCACGAGCTGTTCGATCCGTGGATGCACATCTCGGAGATCCACCACAAGCTCGTCGCGGCGCTCGACCTCCCCCCCCTCGCCTGAGCGCATCCGCACGCCCGGCTATGATCCGCGTGCATGAACGAGAACGCACCCAAGCCCAGCGCCGCCTCCCCAGAGCAGACCCGCGAGCTCATCGCGCAGTTCCAGAAGGACTACGCCGCGGCGCGTGACGAGATCGCGAAAGTCGTCGTGGGCCACGGCAACATCATTGACGGCGTCCTCACCTGCCTCTTCACGGGCGGCAACGCCCTGCTCGAGGGCGTCCCGGGCCTCGGCAAGACCCTGCTCATCCGAACGCTCGCCGAGGCGCTCGACCTGGACTTCGGACGCGTGCAGTTCACGCCGGACCTCATGCCCGCGGACATCACCGGCACGGAGATCGTCCGCGAGACCGAGGGCGGCGGTCGCGAGTTCGTCTTCGAGAAAGGCCCGGTCTTCACGCAGATCCTGCTGGGCGACGAGATCAACCGCGCCACGCCCAAGACCCAGTCCGCGCTGCTCGAAGCGATGCAGGAGAAGCGCGTCACCGCCGCCGGCCACACGCACACGCTCCCCGAGCCCTTCTTCGTGATGGCCACCCAGAACCCGCTCGAGCAGGAGGGCGTCTACCCCCTCCCCGAGGCCCAACTCGACCGCTTCATGCTCAAGCTGGTCGTCGGCTACTCGAGCCGCACCGAGCTCGCCGAGATCCTCAAGAGGACCACCACCGGGGCGAAGCAGGCGGTGAACAAGGTCCTCGACGCGAAGACCATCCTCGAGCACCAGAAGCTCGTCCAGCGCGTCGCTATCGCGGACCACGTCCAGGACTACGCCGTCCGCCTCGTCCTCGCGACGCACCCCGGCGGCGAGTTCGCCCCGCCGAACGTGACCAGCTTCGTCCGCGTCGGCGCCTCGCCCCGCGCCGCGCAGGCGCTCGTGCTGGGCGGCAAGTGCCGCGCCCTCGTCGCCGGACGCCCGAGCGTCGCCATCGAGGACATCAAGTCCATCGCCCTGCCCGCCCTGCGCCACCGCATCGCGCTCAACTTCGAGGGCCAGGCCGAGGGCATGACGACCGACGACATCGTCCGCAACATCGCGCAGACTTTGCCGGTCGACGCGCCGATGCCCGCGTCCTGAGCCACAGATCTGTGGACCGCGCCGCTCGGACTCAACGGGTGAAGAAGAAGTCCCGCGAATGACGCTTGCGGACCGCCCCGCGCGCGTTAGACTTTCGCCCGGAACTTGCTTTGTCTTCGTGAGGGTCTGACAAGCTCAAAAAAACTCGCACGCCGTACCCGACCTCCCGAAAGGGCCGCGGGGGTATAGCACGCGCCCCCCAGAAATCCCCCACCATTTCGGTAGCACACGCAGAGGAAACACCCGCGCCCAGGCGGCGCGCCACGCACGCATCGTTTGTTGAGTCCACCGTGTCTCTCGCCATTCTCAACGAAAGGAAACACCATGCGTACACCATCGATCAGAACCGCGCACCGCTGCACCGGAGTCCTCGCGTCGCTCGCCCTCGCGGCCGGCACCGCCGTGCTCCTCGCGCCGACACCGGCGCAGGCGCGCCCCATCGGCGGGCCGCTCTGCGGGCCGACGTACCAGTGGTCCTGCAGCGGGCCCGGCGGCCCCAAGATCCTTTTCATCGGGACGGTGTGCGACCGCGCCGCCTTCGAGCGCCGCACGGGCTACACCTGCGTGCCCTTCTGATGTTGTTCCCCGGGGGCCGGGGGAGGGGAAACGCCGTTTCTTGTCCCTTTTTTCACCACATTTCTGACGGAGTGATCCCATGAAGAAGAGCATGAACAAGGTTGCTACCCGCGCTTCGATCGGTGTCGCCGCGCTCGCGCTCGCCGCGGGCGCCACGGTCCTCGCCACCCCCTCCCCCGCCGAAGCCCGCATCGGCCCCTTCTTCCCCTGCATCTGCCTGCACGTCTACGCCCCCGTGACGTGCGACGGCGGCGTCGTGTACTCCAATCAGTGCTTCGCCAACTGCGCCGGCGCCACCGGCTGCGTCCCGGGCATCCTGTACTGATTCGTTCCTGATCTCGAGCCGGCGCGCCAAACGGCGTGCCGGTTCATTCATGCTTTCATTCATCCACGGGATCGGAGCAAACATCATGAGTCACGCATCGTCCAAGTCCACACCCTGGCTGCTCGTCGCGCTTCTCGCCCTTTCCGCCCTCACACTCGGGCTCGCGTTCCAGAACCGCAAGCTTCAGGGGCAGGTCCGAGACCTGGGCATGCTCGCCCAGGCCGCCCAGAGCCGCGGCTACTTCACCGGCGCGAACCTCCCGAGCTTCACCCTCGTCACGCACGACGGCCTCCCCCTCCGCGGCGGCAGCGACGCCACCGAGACCGAGACCCTCGTCCTCATCGGCTCGCGCTCCTGCTCGTACTGCGACGACGCCCGCGTCGAGTGGGAATTCATCGCCATGGACTGGGCCGATCGCGGGCTCAACATCGTCGGCATCGAGCTCGACATCACCCGGGAAGACCTCGACCCCGACGCCGCGACCTACCCGCTGCACGTCCCCGGCGGCGACGCCCAGCCCTTCGTCGCCAACCTCCCGGGCGTCCCCGCGTCCCTCTTCCTCGATCGGGAAGGCCGCGTCATCCGCGCTTTCTACGGCGACCAGGCCGGCCTGCGCGAGACGATCGAGTCGTACTTCAGCAAGCAATCCGTCGCGATGCAGAGCAGCGAGTCACTCCCCGCCGAGGCCAGCGCGCCGGTCAACTGAGCCCGGCGGGCCGTTCAGCCGGCGCCGCCCGCCTCGTCCGCGGGAGGCGTTCCGGGGGATCCGGGGGATCCGTACAGCCGTCGCCCGAGGCGGAGCGAGACGCCGACCAGCGCGATGAGCACCGGCACCTCGACGAGCGGCCCGACCACCGTCGCGAACGCCACGCCCGAGCCGAGCCCGAACACCGCGATCGACACCGCGATCGCCAGCTCGAAGTTGTTCCCCGACGCGGTAAACGCGAGCGTCGCCGCCCGCTCGTACTCCGCGCCCACGCGCTTCGCCATGAAGAAGCTCACGAGGAACATCACCACGAAGTAGATCGTGAGCGGGACCGCGATCCGCACGAGGTCGAGCGGCAGGCTCACGATCGCGTCGCCCTTCAGGCTGAACATCACCACGATCGTCAGCAGCAGCGCCACGAGCGTGATCGGCGCGATCCGCGGGATGAACACCCCCGAGTACCACGCCTCGCCCTTGATCGGGCGCAGCACCGCACGCGTCAGGATCCCCGCCGCGAAGGGCACCCCCAGGTAGATCATCACGCTCTTGAAGACCTCGCCGATCGAGATGTCCACGACCGCGCCCTCCAGCCCGAGGAGCGGGGGCAGGAACGTGATGAAGAACCACGCGTACGCCCCGAAAAACAGCACCTGGAAGACGCTGTTGAACGCCACGAGCCCCGCGGCGTACTCGCTGCTCCCACGCGCGAGGTCGTTCCAGACCAGCACCATCGCGATGCACCGCGCGAGCCCGACCAGGATGAGCCCGGTCATGTACTCGGGCTGATCGCGCAGGAACACCACCGCGAGGGCGAACATCAGCGCCGGGCCGACGACCCAGTTCTGCACGAGCGAGAGCGCGAGGATCTTCACGTCGCGGAAGACCTTCGGCAGCTCCTCGTACCGGACCTTGGCGAGCGGCGGGTACATCATCAGGATCAACCCGACCGCGATCGGGATGTTCGTCGTGCCGACGGACACCGCGTCCATCGACTCGGCGAGCCCGGGCACGAGCCGCCCCAGGAACACACCGCACGCCATCGCGAGGAAGATCCACAGCGTGAGGAAGCGGTCGAGCAGGCCCAGTCTCTTCGGCGGCTCCGACAAGCAGGCCGGAGCGGCGCACGCGTTCGCGGTCGCGGTGTTCATGGTGTTTCCTTGTTCACGACGGCGCGCCCGACGAGACCAGCACGTCCGGGAGCGTCTCGACGAACGCGCGGATCTCGTCCCGCACGCGACGGTAGTGCCCGAGCGCGTCCTCCTCCGTCGACGCGCCCTCGGCGAGCTTCGGCGGATCTTCAAACCCCCGGTGCACCACCCGCGCCCGCCCCGGGAACACCGGGCACGTCTCGTGCGCGTGCCCGCACACGGTGACCACGAGATCGAGCGTCCCCGGCTCACACGCCTCCACCGCTTTGCTCGCGTGATCCGAGATGTCCACCCCCGCCTCCGCCATCACGCGCACCGCGTGCGGGTTCAGCCCCTGCGGCGCCGTCCCCGCGCTGCACGAGTCGATCGCCTTGCCGTGCAGGTGACGCGCCCACCCCTCCGCCATCTGGCTCCGGCACGAGTTGCCCGTGCACAGGAACAGCACCCGCGGCCGCGCACCGCTCATGATTCTGGATCCCCGCTGTTCGTCGCGCTCGCGTACATTTGCATGATAATGCAAGTATTGCGTGCCCGCGCCGTGCCGTCAACGGCCCGAGTGTTCAGATTGCGTGTGATCGGCCGCTCAGGCCGCTCGCGCTCGCTTCTTCGCGTACGGGGACACGACGATCTTCGGCGTCGCCACCCTCCGCGGGGCCTTCCCGGGCGTCACGATGAGCAGGCTCACCCACTGCCCGAAGCCGTTGAGCTTCACGCCGCTGGCCGCGAAATCCGCGAGGCGCGAATGGCCGTCGATGACGTACTGGAACTCGTAGTCCCCCGGTTCGAGCTCGAGCTCGAGCTCCCACCAGCCATCGCCGATGTGGCGCAGGTCGATCGCGCCCTCGTCCCAGCCGGTGAAGCAGCCCGAGAGCCGCACGGAGTGCGCCGCCGGACGATGGATCCTGAAACGCCGTCCAACGCCGTGCGTGGTGCTGACCATGGGGGCGAACCTTTCTCTCTCTGGCGGGTCCAAGCGAGTGTCATAGGGGCCCGCCCGACCTGATAGGCTGCGGTTCCACCCACCCCATCGGCCGAAAATCGCCCGTGCTCAAGACCTACCGCACAATCCGCACATTCGTTCCGATCTCACTCCTCGCCGCCCTGCTGGCCTGCGCCTCGACCGGCGCCCCGGCGGCCCGCGAGTCCGCGTCCGAGCCGCCCGCGGGCGCGATCGGCGCCGCCATCGATCCCACCCGCGCCGAGGCGATCCCGGACCGGATCTACGCCATCGAGGGCGTCCCGCTCGTCATCCCGGTCGGGTCCCCGGGCTCGATCCCGTCCCCCGTACGCACCGCGGACGGACGCGAGCTGTCCACGCGCCTCTTCCTCGTCACCCGCGAGCCGCTCACCCTCGACCCCCTGAGCTGGCTCCGCCCCGCCGGAGGGTGGGACGCGACCGAGATCGTCCCGGGCGAGCCCCTCCCGGAGCGCAGCGGCCTCTGTATGCTGCTCCTCGACCTCCCCGAGGGCTACGCCAACCGGCCGCTGTACGCCGGCGAGCGCCAACTCCCGGTCCTCTGGCTGCCCGCCCCACCCGTGACGACCGAATCGCGTTTCCTCCCCCGGCTCAACGCGAGCCCCAGCGCCTGGCGCGAGCTGGGGGAGATCCTCACCCCCCTCCGCAACGACCCCTCGCAGCGCTGGCGCGTCCGGCTGCTCACCGACCGCGTCCGCCCGGACCGCCTCTTCGGCGTCGGCGGCGACGCGTTCAGCGAGAAACCCATCGAGAACGACCTCCTCGAGGCCCTCGCCGTCCAGACCGAGCTGCGCTACCGCGTCGCCATCGCGCGTATTCAGCTGGCGGACGCCAGAGCCGCCGCCCAGCTCATCGGGATTCTCACCACCGTCGTCGCCATGCCCGACGGCCAGCTCCTGCCCGCCTGGTCGGACATCACCCCGCGACTCAGCACCATCGTCGACACCGCGATCAACACCGCCCGCTCCCCCGCTCGCGCCGCCGAGGCCATGACCGCCTTCGCGGAGTCCCTCTCGCCCGTCCGGGGCTGGGTGATCGACGACGCCTCCACGACTCGCGACGGTCGCCCGCAAGCCACGATGGGCGTCGCGAACCTCTCGATCGACCCCGTCCGCGTCAGCGCCGGGGCGACAAACCAGGCCTTCACCCGCACCGCGGACATCCCGCCGCACAGCGCCGAGACCGTGCGCGCGCCGGTCGTGATCGACCCGCCCCGAACACCGACGGACCCGCCCCGCATCCGGCCGATCGACCTCCGCATCGAGACCC